ACCCTCCACTCGTGCCACGTACCTGGCAAAATGGAAGTTCTTCTCCATCTGGTCTCTTCAGCTAGCAACCACAGCTAGCGCCAATTCCCCTTGTTTTGGTTACCTGTTATACCTCCAGCTGCAGGGGTTGGCAATATCATCTTGCAGGGTACACCTGGCTGCCATTTTGGCCTTCCACCTGCGGGCAGCGGGTAGGTCAGTCTTCGGCAATCCCATGGTGGGCTGGTTTCTCAAGGACTTGGACAGACTTTATGCCCAGGTACAATGGCCCATTCCCCAGTGGGACTTCAACCTGGTCCTGTCCACACTCATGGGGCCCCGTTTCAAGCCCATGACGACCTGCCCTCTGTCCTACGTTTCCTGGAAGGTGGCCTTTCTGGTGGCCAAAACCTCGGCCAGAAGGGTATCCCACTTCTGAGCGCTGACTTCCGAGCCCCCCTATATGGTCTTTTATAAAGACAAGGTGCAGCTACGCCCTCACCCTGCGTTTCTGCCAAAGGTAGTCTCCCAGTTTCATGTGAACCAGGACATATTTTTACCTGTGTTCTTTCCTAAGCCACATATCAGTAACAGAGGGTGCATGTTCCATTCTCTGGATGTCAGGCATCCCCTAGCATTCTATACTGAGCGCACAAAGCCATTTCGTAAGTCACCACAGTTCTTTATTGCAATCGCAGAAAGGATGAAGGGGCTTCTGATCTCGTCCCAGCGCATTTCATCATGGATCACGTCCTGTATCAGGACTTGCTACGACCTGACTAAAATTCCAGCCCCTTCGCTTACGGTGCACTCTACGAGAGCGCAGACATGGTCCACAGCATTCCTGGCACAGGTCCCTATCAAGGAAATATGCAAGGCAGCAATGTGGTCCTCTGTCCACACCTTCACGTCACACTACACCATTACCCAACAGGCAAGGGACGATGCAGCCTTTGGCAGGGCAGTCCTGCATTCCTCAACCAAGTGAACTCCAACCCCTCCCCAAGGGAAACTGCTTGGGAGTCACCTATTGGAATGCACATGAACAATCACTTGAAGAGAAAAACGGTTATCTACCTCTCGTAACTGTTGTTCTTCAAAATGTGTTGCTCATGTCCATTCCAAAACCATCTGCCTTCCCTCTATTGGAGTAGTCTGGCAAGAAGGAACCGAGCAGGCAGCGGGTCGGCCGGGACCTATACACACCGCCATGAATGTGCCACTCCAGGGGTCTCCACAGCCTACCCGACGGGTACTGCTAGGGGAAAAAACCTTGGGGATAAAATCATATCACACTGACTACAGCCTAGCCTCATTGAACAAGATACTTTTCTGTCTGGTAGAGCAACGCTAATGCCACAGTCCTTCCAGGGTTTTAGTCCAGGCTTGGCTGTGATCTCCTGTTCCTGAGAAAAATGCTGTCAACCACCTCCTGGGTGAAAGGGACCTCTTGTCCCCTCTCCTCTTTCTTTGTAGGTACAGGCCATTGTCTCTTCCCAGAGGAGGTCCCTCTTTAAAGACTTGTGTTGAGGGTCCTTTGTCTTTGTAAATTCTCAGGCTCCCACTGGGCCCAGACAGTGAATATAGCCTGTCTCCACGGCTGTGCTTTCTTCTATGTGCTGATTGGCTCAGCCGAAGGGATTCCCATGGTGCAGGTGACAAGCTTCACTTCAACACCTCTGGATCCTCATATTCTACATTTTACATCTCTCTTCAACTATGTCCCATACAAACATCTTGCCCCCGTTACTTTGACAAGCAGTCTGTTGGCTCTTGGCAGAGACCTCACAACCCACCTTTGGTGAACTATTGTGCATATAGCTCACCCAGGTGATCCCTGTATAACTCTAGGCATTCCTGTGCCCTCTGCCAGTTGGCGTCTATTTCTAGGCCAGACTCCTCTGTGGCACAATAGGGACCTGGGTAACTGCAGCTTCCACTGGCTGGATTTGGTGTCAATGGAGTCTGCAGCCGCTCATTCAAACTAAAAATCCAGGGCCAATTTCTCAAGAGTCCGGTTCCTAATCACTGTGTTCCGGCAGATTTGCATTTCAGGGAATTAGTCCTGAAATTGTAACTTCCCCAAGAGCTGGACATAAGAGAGACAATTATTCCTCACTTCCTGTACTACACAGCCTACATATTTCCCTGTCCTGTTTCTCAGCTGCCCTGTCCTACCCCAGAAGTGGCTGCATGTCAGTGGGAGGAGTCTTCTTCTTTTGTGTATTTCACAAGTTGATATCTATGTAACCCTTCTGCCAGTGATGTTGGAAGTGACCAGGGCCGGTTTCAATAACTAGAGGTTCCTTTTCAGCAATATAACACAGATCCAGCTTGAGCATCCACCCAATAACCTGATACAATTACACAAAATCCACTGGGTGTTTCTACGAGGCAAAGTTTCCCCTCTTGGAAGCACAGAATCTCAGTGCAGAAAAGGAACTTTTTAATAAAAGGAGGAAAGGTCCCCAACATTAACTTGGGAAAATGCCAGAAACAGGATTTATAAACATAAAACCATGAGCAAAACACCTCCCCAAGAGAATGTTGGTCAGTGTCTTTTGCCTCAGGTTCTTGAGTCCAGCAACTAAATTTCCTTTAAGGTGCCCGTCCCTTCTTTCTCCACCACACCCCACTCACAGTGATTGTCCTTTGTTAGTGAAGACCCAGAGTTCAGAGGTGCAGCTGTGTGAATTTAGCTCCCACCATGGGTGCGGGGAGGAGAGCACCTGGCTTGGTCTGCTGTCTGGGTGCTTGCTCTGGTGGCAGCTGCCCTGCCAGCCACTCACCACTCTGCTGGCCCTCACCTTCTGCTGCCCCCGGCCTCTCTACTGTGACCTCTACAGGTCTCTCTCTTGAGGCTCCACCCAGCTCTCAGAGACTGTGAGCTCTTAGAGGGGAACCCTCACTCACAGCAGGTGATTTCCACTCTAGTGATCACTTAAACCAAAATGACTCCTAATGGAGCCTTCATTAACTCTATCTTTGAAGAGTGGTGAGGGGCAGATTAAACGATGCCTAGACCTCTTACACAGTACGCACACACCTCAGCAGGAACATCCATCTCCACCTCCTCTCATTCTTGATAGGGGGTCTGGTGTCTGAGCCCCCTGGTTAGTGAGTTCCGTTCAGTTCAGAGTGACCACCTCAGTCAGGGCAGGCTCAGTTCTGCTGCCTTTTACTCACGACAACTACATTTTACTACTCCTGCATTGAAGTACTACAGTGATTTGTAACCCAGCACCTGCCAACACAGCTCTGTCTGCTGGATACCTGGGCAGAGTGAATGTGTTCTTGAAGCCTTTTCCCCTCCCCAGCTCATCACTAGCTGTCAGGGGAGAACTCATTCCAAACTTGCTTACCTCTACCTCAGGTGTGGGCAAACTTTTTGGCCCAAGGGCCACATCTGGGTGGCTCAGGGAAGGGGGTTGGGGTGTAGGAGGTGGTGTAGAGTGTGGGAGGGGGCTTAGAGCAGGGGGTTGGGGTGCTGGAAGGGTGTGGGGTGCGACAGGGCTTAGGGCAGGGGTTCAGAGTGCAGGAGGCGTGCGAGGTGCGGCGGGGGTTGGGGTGCAGGCAGGGTGAGATGGGGGTTCAGGGTACAGGCTCAGGCTGGGGGTTGCTTAGCTGGAGCAGCTGCAGGGCATCAGCAGCGAGCGCCAGGGCCAGGGCCGGCTCCCTGCTTACCCTGGCTCCACGCCGCGTCGCACTGCTCCCGGAAGTAGCCGGCACCACGTCCCTGCGGAGCCTGGGGGAGGGCAGAGGGCTCCACGTGCTGCCCTCGGCTGCGTGTAGCTCCTCCGATGCTCCCATTGGCCGCGATTCCCTGTTCCTGGCCAATGGGAGCTGCGGGGTGTGGCGCTACAGGCAAGGGCAGCGCGTGGAGCCATCTGTCCCCCACCCTGCCCCCAGGGGCTGCAGGCACGTGGTGCCGACGGCTTCCGGGAGTGGTGCAGGGCCAATGGCGCCAAAGGGGTGGTAATCCCATGGACCAGATCCAAAGCCCAGACAGGCCAGATCCGACCTGCGGGCTGTAGTTTTCCCACCCCTGCCATCTGACTGTGAATCCTCAAGGTCCAGACTTCTAACGGGGCTCTCCTCCACCATGTGTGACTGTCTGTATTGCTGCCCCACAGGCACACTGAGAAGATCAGGCTAAGCCAAATTTTTGCACTGCAGCAATTCCTCTGGCCAGTCTAGTCAGGGGCCCATTAACCCTCATCCAAGATCTACGTCCCAGGCTGTAAATGGGCAGATACAAGTTAGGGCTTCTGAAAATGCGTCAGCACGCCAGTCTCTGTATCCCAAAGTTCCTGCCCCTCTGTGAGGACACAGGTGTCAGCCCAGCTATGTAATCATTCATCTGAGACTGTTACTGGGCTGGCAGTACTAGAGACGAGTGCAGCAATGTTACCAAGTCAGTCCTGGCAAGTCAGGAAGACCTGCAGGGACAAGTGTTTGCTTCAGGAGGGAGTCGTTCTGCTTGAAGGAAGTGTGCATTGCCTCTGCACGGGCAGTTCTAGGGGGATGGACACTGGGTGATCTTTTCAGGGAGCGATGGAATTCGATGCTGATGTCAGGCTAAGGCAACCACTAATGACACGGGTGACTGTGTTCAGCTCCCAATCACCAAGATGCTTATCCCAGCATCTGCCCCACGGTACTGCACAGTATCACACTGGAGCGAATACCAGCGCCAGGAGTGAGGGTGTAAATCTGCTCCCCAGGAGGTTCCTGCCAGCAGTGCGGGGGATAATCTTTTTTAGTGCTCTAGTGGGAGCAGTGGGTCAGACTGCCGTCCAGTCCGCCTAATTAGGTGACAGCCTAGCTAGGTGAGAGCTGGCTGGGAGAGCAGTGGAGAAACTTCAACATTACCCAAGTGATTAGCCTGGTCAGTGGTGGGCAGACTCTGAAAGGCAGTTGCTCTGTGCAGAGACTGGACAGAGGTACTACATTCCCAAGCGACACGAGAGATAAGATGCACAGGAACCTCCCTGAGTGTTTATTCCCTTGGGTGTTTGCAGATGCTGGCATCTCAGAAGTAGCTCAGCTCCAACTGGTGAACGGCCCAAGTCGCTGCGCTGGGAGGGTTGAGGTGCTTCACAACCAGCAGTGGGGAACCGTGTGTGATGACAGCTGGGACTTACAGGATGCTGGAGTCATATGCAGGCAGCTGGGCTGTGGGACGGCGTTATCAGCCCCAGGAGGGGCTCGATTTGGGCGAGGGTCAGACCGTATCTGGCTGGATAACGTCAACTGCAAAGGAACAGAAGTTGCCCTCTCCAACTGCAGGGCTCGGCCTTGGGGAGAGAATGACTGTACCCATGGAGAAGATGCCGGTGTTGCGTGCTCAGGTAACTTGCATCCATCACGTCACTGTGGGTGGTGCAGGGATCGAGCTGGGAAGCTTTCAGGAGAGACCCAGCTCTCCTGTCTGAGTCAGTGCTGACCCCAGTGCCCCAGCATGGCGCTAAGGGCCTGTACTGTAGGGAACTGTTTCGGGGTCACAGTAAGTGTCGCTTTTCCCATGGTATCAGTGCTCACTCCATTTTCCCCACACAGTTCTATGTGCCTGTGCTGCAGGGAGCAGGATGGGGGCTCAGTAGGGGGTGCTCTCCCCTCAAAGTCAGGGGTGGGCCAGTGCCCCAGCACAACACTTAGTGTCTGTGTTACAGGGAGCAGTACATGTGCCTCTGTGAGAGACCCTCCCGGCTACAGCACAATGGGGTGTGGGTAACCATACATCCCATTTGTGGTATTTGGGGTTTACTGGATCATGCAGCCACTCAAGGATCCCTTTATGAAGTGTGGGGTTCCTATCCACGTCACTCCGGGTGATTTACATCTCAGCTAATTACCCCTGGACCTATAAAATGCCCCACTGTTGTGACAGGAGACAGGGTTCTTCCTCACTTCCTCTCGTACACGACTTATCAGTTTCTGTGCCCTGTCTCTCATCTACCCTGTTCCATGCTACAGGTGGCTGCATGGTAGTGCTGGGGAGTAGGGCTGTGAAGTTATTAAAAAGTTAATCGTGATTAATTGTGAGATAAAAAAATTAATCTTGATTAATCGCATAATTTATTGCACCTTTACACAATAATAGAGTACCATTTATTTCATTTTTTGGGATGTTTCCTAAATTTTCATATACATTTATTTCAATTACAACACAGAATTCAAACTGTACAGTGCTCACTTTATATTTATTTTTGATTACACGTCTTTGCACTGTAAAAAAGAAACAAAATAAATATTATTTTCAGTTCACCTCATACAAGTACTGTAGTGCAATCTCTTTATCAGGAAAGTTGAGCTTACAAATGTAGAATTATTTACAAATAATAACTACAATCAAAGATAAAACAATGTAAAATTTTAGCTCCTACAAGTCCCCTGAGTCCTACAGCTTGTTCATCCAGTCGCTCAGACAGACAAATTTATAAACAAGATGCAAGCAGCATTATCTCCTGCAAAGGTAAACAATGTTACCTGAAAGTGAGAGAATGCATTCACATGGCACTCTTGTAGCTGGTGTAGCAAAGTATTTATGTGCCAGATGTGATAAAAATGCATATGTCCCTTCATGCTTCGACTACCATTCCAGAGAACATGCGTCCATGCTGATGATGGATTCTGCCCGATAACGATCCAAGCAGTGCAGACCGACAAATGTCCATTTTCATCATCTGAGTCAGATGCCACCAGCAGAAGGTTGATTTTCTTTTTTGGTGGTTCAGGTTCTGTAGTTTCCGCACTGGAGTGTTGCTCTTTTAAGACTTCTGAAAGCATGCTCCATACCTCGTCCCTCTCAGATTTTGGAAGGAACTTCAGATTCTTAAATCTTGGGGCGAGTGCTGTACCTAGCTTTAGAAATCTCACTTTCATACTGTATTGTTCCCCTCTGGTGTTATCTGGACCGCTGATCTGCTAGGTCACTCCAATCCCTGACTCGGGGAGCCAGCCTTACCCTGCTCTGCTGTGAGAACCCCCACTCCTGGGCTTTTCACACACAGCCTCTGATATGTAACCTGCTCCTTGGATCTTGCAACCAAATGACACTAGCCAATATCGCCGGTCCCAGACAGAACCCTAGAAACCTCCGTCTTGCAGTATCCAGTTATCCCCGCTGGATGCTGCAAGCTTATCTAAGTTCATCAATTTAACAAAGAAATTGATATGTACCAGTCTTCAGGTAGAACAAACGAACTGAACTATTAACTATGAAGATAGATTTTAAGTGGTTATAAGTCAAACATAGCAAGTCAGATTTTGTCAAATGAAATAAAAGCAAAACACATTCTAAACTGATCTTAACACTTTTAATGCCCTTTGAAACTTAGATGCTTCTTATCACCAGCTAGCTGGTTGCTCTTCAGCCAGGCTCTCCCCTTTAATCAGTACTTCAGTCGCTTCGTGTGATGTCTATAGATGTAGGTGGAAGAGAGAGGAAAAGCATGGCAAACATTTCTCCCTTTTATCATGTTCTTTCTTCCTTCTTGGCTTTGCCCCACCCTCTTTAGTGTCAGGTGAGCATTACCTCACTGCAGTCCCAAACTGACCTTAGGAAGGGGAGTCCAACAGATCCTTTTGATGCTGCCTAGGCCAGCGTTCTTTGTTCCTGCGAGGCTGGGCTGGATTTCTCCCATACATGCCTTGATGAGGTGTGAACTGCCCTTCTGCTCTTAGAGAGTTTTTGCCTGGGCTTATTTTAAAGCATGAGGATACATTTTCAACCTCATAACTTTATACATGAAATTATAACCTCTAACATTGCTATAACATTACTGCAACAACAATTACTATAACATCACTATAACAACAAAGCTCAGTGTATTATGAGCCTTCCAAAGACAGCCGACATGACTAACTTTGTATTGGATACCACACAATCATTTTATAAGGATGAACATGGGGGTGCTGGGTGATTCCCTGAGGTACAGAGAGTCACAGGTACCTTCTTTGCGTTTTGTGAAATTTGCAGTGAAAGTGTTCTTAAAATGAACAACATGTGATGAGTCATCATCCAAGTCTACTGTAAGATGAAAGATATGGCAGAATGTAGGTAAAATACATAGCAGGAGATACGCAATTCTCCCCCAAGGATTTCAGTCACAAATTAAATTAACACATCGCTTTTTTAACGAGCATCATCAGCATGGTAGCATGTCATCTGGAATGGTGGCCAAAGCATGTAGGGGCATGTAAATGTTTAGCATATCTGGCACATAAATACCTTACAGTGCCACCTACAAAAGTGCCATGCGAACGCCTCTTCTCACTTTTGGGTGACATTGCAAATAAGAAGCAGGCAGCATTATCTCCTGTAAATGTAAACAAACTTGTTTGTCTCAGCGATTGGCTAAATGAGAAGTAAGACTGAGAGGATGTGTAGCCTCTAAATTTTCCATTGTTGGTTTTTTTGCGTGCATTTAAGTAACAAAAAAAATCAACATTTGTAAGTTGCACTTTCACAATAAAGAGATTGCACTACAGAACTTGTATGAGGTGAATTGCAAAATACTATTTCTTTTACTATTTTTACAGTGCAAATATAGTAAAAACTGTTTTTTTCCAGCACTTCACCAACAGGAAAGCTCTATAAATTGGCATTTCGGATCTTCATCGAAATTCCGGTTTATAGTCCGGTTGGCGCGGGGCTGGCAGGGTGCTGGGGAACAGAAGGGGGTTTGGATTGCAGGTTCTGGGAGGGAATTTGGGTGTGGGAGGGGTCTTGGTACATGGGAGCGAGTGCAGGGTGTAAGATCCATGGGCCTCTCACTTGGATGGCTCCCCATAAGCGGTGACCTGTCCCGGGCTCTGGCTACTCCTAAGCGGAGAGGCATCAGGTAGCTCTGTATTCTTCCCGCCCCCCCGTGCCAGCTGCACAGCTCCCATTGGCTGGGAACCACGGCCACTGGGAGCTACAGGTGGAGGGAGTGCACCAACCTGCCTGCCGTGACTCCGCCTAGGATCAGCCGGGACGAGTTGCTGCTTCCGGGGAGCTACCTGAGGTGGCCCTGGATCCGGCACCCTGCACCCGATACCGCGCCCCAACTGCCTGCCCTGGGCCCCCTCCTGCACCCAAAATCCCTCCCAGAGCCCGTGCCCCATCCCTCAGCTCCGCACTCCCTCCCGCACCCAACCCCCCTCCCTCTTAGTTAACCAGCATTTTTCATTTACCAGCACCCCCCATTCCCCCTACATGCTGGATAAAACAACTTTAACTGTAATAATATAAAATGAGAACAGTACACATTGTATTCTGTGTCGTAACTAAAATCAATATATTTGAAAATATTGAAAAACATCCAAAATATGTAATAAATTTAAATTGATATTCTATTGTTTAACAGTACAATTAAAACTGTGATTAATCGTGATTAATTTTTTTAATCATTATTTTTTTTTAGTTAACTGATTAATTCACAGGGAGTGAACCCTTAACAGGCTGTTGCAGAGGCTGTTCAGACCTGTCAGTGGGAGGCACTATGTCCTTCTTTCAGTGATTGCTCATGTGCATTCCAATAGGTGTGTGCGCGCCGCGTGCATGATCGTCGGAAGGTTTTTCCCTAGCGATACCCATCGGGTCGGCTGTGGAGACACCTGGAGTGGCGCCTTCATGGCGGTGTATATAGGTCCCTGCCGACCCGCTGCCTGCTCAGTTCCTTCTTACCACCAGTGACGGTCGTTGGAGCAGCTCAATCTCTTGCACTCGCAAATGCCTTTGTAGTGGTTTCCTTTTCTTAGTTGTAGATAGTTAATAGTTAGTTATTGTGACAAAGTTCCTCCTCTATCTTGGTGGGTCCTGCGCTTATTGGCGGATTTTCCTGCCTCAGAGATTCACCATGTGGGTTGGGGAACAGCCCAGAAACCTTCCCCTCTGGAAGAACCCACAGTCCAGGTCAATTGGGAGGTTTGGGGGGAACCCGGGCCCGCCCTCTACTCTGGGTTCCAGCCCAGGGCCCTGTGGACTGCAGCTGTCTATAGTGCCTCCTGTAACAGCTGCATGACAGCTACAACTCCCTGGGCTACTTCCCCATGGCCTCTTCCAAACACCTTCCTTATTCTCACCACAGGACCTTCCTCCTGGTGTCTGATAACGCTTGTGCTCCTCAGTCCTCCAGTAGCTCTCACTCTCAGCTCCTTGCGCCTCTTGCTCCCAGCTCCTCCCACTCGCACCACAAACTGAAGTGAGCTCCTCTTAAAACCCAGATGCCCTGATTAGCCTGCCTTAATTGATTCTAGCAGCTTCTTCTTAATTGGCTCCAGGTGTGGTAATTAGCCTGCCTGCCTTAACTGGTTCTAGCAGGTTCCTGATTACTCTAGTGCAGCCCCTGCTCTGGTCACTCAG